TCTCTCAAATAGATTTAGGAAGTGAAAACAAAGTGAAAACAATTTCAAATAGATTTCAGATTTTTGTTTGTGTTTTCACTTTTGTTAATGTAGACTAAGGGCTAGTTTGTCACTTTTGTTAAGATGAATGATGGGAAGTAGAAGAACGAGGAGAAACATAAGCAAGCGTGAAAACATATGGAGTTATTTTTGGAATTCTGACATTTTCATTAAACTCTAGTGCCTCTCCAAACTGATTGCCGCATAATCAGAAAATAAAAGCATCACTATACCAGTTTTCCCTTAGGCCCTGTTTGGTTCACGAAATGGATTTGATGGGAAATCATTTCCCATGTCATTTCCCAAGGGATGGAAAATGGTGATTCCTTTCCTATGTTTGGTTATGCCGGGAAAGTAACCCATAAATATCATTTTATTTCTTTTCCTATGTTTGTTTTGAGTAGGAATGGAAAGCGAATTTTGATGAGGTTGGTGTAGTACTAGTAGTTGTTATGTGCCATAACAATAGAAGAATGAATATCATATGTTGAACTAGCAATTGCTTTCTTGCCATAAGTATTCCTCTTCTTCTTTCTCTGATATCTCATCTTAGTTTTGTGACAACTACATACTGCATATAGGGAGTCTGCAAAGAAAAAAAACATCAGGCAACAATGTGAAAATCGTGTGTAGGGCTCGTCAATGGGCCGGGCCGGGCTAGCCCGGCCCCAATTTCATGGGCTTGGGCCGGGCCGGGCCGGGCTTTAAAGAGGATAGAGAAAATATCGGGCTGGGTTTTTTTAGAAAATTCAAAGCCTAAGCCCATCTCATGAGTCGGGCTTGAAAAAGCCCATCGGGCCGGGCCGGGCTAAGCCCAACGGGCCGGGCCGAAATGGGTCTAAAAAATAATAAGTGTAAAAAAATAAAAAAAAAATTATGCTACAACAAAATTGAAAATTTAAATTTATGTATGCATTTTCATGTTTTTGTATGTAATCACATTTTCACGTTGTCTTGAGCATATTTCCTTGATAGATTTACATAAAACAAAAGAAAATACTCTAATAGATTTACATAAAACAAAAGAAAATACTAACAACTATAAATTTAAGGATAAAACTTGTATTAATTTTGTGCTCATCATTTGGTGATGTGTTAAAGAAAAATATGATTATATTTGGTGGTATGATTATGTTTGGTGATATGATATGTTGTTTGTCTTATTATATATATATATATAATTGTTGTATTAATAAATGACACAAATTAATGTGCTAATCATCCAATTATAAACTAGTTTTTTTTTCAATGGGCCGGGCGGGCCCCGTAAGCCCAGGAGCCCGCGGGCCAAATGATGAGGCCTAATCGTGTGTTCGTCTGTAACTAGAGAAGTCAAAGATTTCGTCCAATATAATAAATAGCTAATACAACAAAATCAAAAAAGTGAATGAAAATACAATGAAGTCGACTTTACGTGAAGGTCCATCGCTTACACGCTCAGTATTTTTTTTCTTTCTATTTGCTTTAACTATTGCAGAAAGTTCAAAGTCTTCTTTGATTCTTTAAAGTGATTAATATTTATATTTATCTACTTTACCTGGCTCTCTGCTTTTCCATGACATAATTATCACAATTTTGTTTCTACTATTATAAAGTTATGCAATAATTTTTGGTGTCATAGACTTCATCAAAAATTATTACGACAAACTTAAAATGGCATTATGTGACACTACTATTACTCTAAACTTAAAAATGTTTATTAGCTGTGATTAAGAGAAAAGAACCAACAGGAGTTGGTCCAATGTTTCTGATGTTTTCGTAAAAAAAAATCAACAGGAGTTGGTCCAAGTGGAAGGGGCTTGGATCCTTTAAACAAGAGGTCCTGGGTTCGATCCCAGGCGCTTGCGAATAGAGCAGACTTTGTTGGGAGAGGTCCCCGCTTTGCGCCCGACAGTACCTCGAGGGTTAGTCCCGCAATCGCGTGGGGATACCTTGGTTTTCACCAAAAAAACCAAGGTGGTTGGTGTGAGTGGTTCGGCACTCTCATTCCTTAAGAGAGGTCAGGGGTTCGATCCCTGCTCTCGTACGGAGTCACCACTTTGGCCAACACATTACCCCTTACGGGCCGACCCGGTGTGAGTGGGGATTAGTCTGGGTTGTGGTTAAGGCTTAAAGGTGTCACCCATAGTTGGGGCCCATCCAGGACCACCTCATGGTTCAGACCAAAAAAAAAAAATGTTTATTAGCTGTGATTAAGAGAAAAGAACGATCACTCAAATCTAGAGGGAAAGGGATTTGAACTCTAATCTAGAGCGATCACACTACTATTACTCTAAACTTAGCAATCTTTATTATCTATCATAGACTTCATAGCCAATTGACCTATCACACACTACTAAGGTGCCATGAGATTTTAAACTTGAGACCCGTAGTATGCAAGTGGCCCTTTACCACAGGGCTTTACCCATTAGTTTTAATATTATAGTTAAATGAACATTGTTCCACCGTCCATAATCAGGTTAACCCTAGGGCCAAACATGTTTGTAGTGCATTGCAAAACTAACAAAGCTAAATTATGTTACTGCACACATTATTTGTTGTAGAGAATTGCATGTTGAGTTGGAGTGTTCTTGGTAATTGCTTCACTTTTCAAATAATACTTTACATGAAGAATACTACCATAAGTATACCCATAAATATTTGTATGAAATTGTCGTTCTGATTGGCAAATAGATTGCAAAATCACCATCTTGCATTTTTGTTACAACAAGTAAAAGTAATCTTTGCCTCTCACATGCTTTCATAGTTAGTAAAATACATAACGGAAAAAGTACGTATTTTATTCGGCAAAATTTTGTGAAATTACAACTGAAAATTTGGGCCACTATATAATATTTTAATATAATTTATTTAAATTTTTTAACATATATTTTTTTATTCAATAATATGTGAAAATTATGTGTATAATACGTGAATTTTGTGTGTATTCTTGAAAATTTTGTAAAAATATGTGTATTAAACATGAAAAATACGTATGTACAAGTACAATATGAGTATTGTATGTTTGCTTTTAAAAAACATGTATTTTATCGAATCTTTAAGATGTGTATAGAAAACGGATGTATTATTGAAAAATACGTATGTGTATAATACAAGTATGAAACGTGAAAATGTTAACTTATTTGAGGAATCCTCAACTGAAACTCTATATATAACTCTATATATATATATATATATTGTGGACCATCATCCGAAGCTGACCGTGTTCCTGTGGGACCTATAATAACATCCCAATGCTCGATGGAATCTTTTTTCGAAAATTCACTCCGTTCATACTGTTGTGGAGAATATTTCTTTTCTGAAATTTCAAGGGCCTCCAACTCCACTGTGACTTCTCTCATTGTAGGGTGGTTCCTTCCATTCAATTTTCAAAGTCAAGCATCTTCTGGCAAGGTTAGCAATTAACTCGATCTCTGTTTCAGAACCCTCCATCAAAACTCGAGCATCTAGTATGTCAAATAGACGATCTTCCTGCATTGCAATATTAAAATATGTGGCAAGACTTCCATATATTCCTGATCTTCTACTTCTGTCGACCTTGTTATTGCATAAATTGGTTTTTGACCAAAGCTATAGACATCACTTTTTTCCGTGAATTGCCTAGATTGGAAATATTCAGGGTCCAAGTAAACAAATGTCCCATGCACATGTGTGTTGAGGTGAGTTTGGTCAATCGCAACTGATCTGGAAGTTCCAAAATCAGCAACTTTTGCTCTATATTTTGTTGGAAAAACAATAATTAGTGTCTAATAAAAATGATTATATATCAACAGTATATAAATACCAACGAAATTGAATTTATAACAAATTGTAATTTGAAATACAATAAACAATAAATAAATGAAACTGACTTGGATTTGAGATAGAGGACAGTAATTTCACTCCTTCTCGGGGCTAGCACTAGGACTTAGAATCTGGCGAACTTTGATTATTTTCCTCTCGGACAATAGACTTCTGAAACCTTATACTTGAAGTTGAAGCCCAATTGGCTTCTACTTGGCCCAGCTTTCAATTACCAAGTGTGGGACTACCACAATTATAAAGACTTCACTTTGTCTTCTTTCTACCAATGTGGGACAAAAGTCCTTAAATTTCATTCAAACTTCCAACGTATTTTTCATCTAAGAGTATGTTGGTCGACTTGATGTTGAGGTGATAAATGGGAACGGAAGCTGCAGAGTGCAAGTACGAAACTGCTGGTGGATATAATGGGAAAGGGTTCCGTTTGATATGATTCGTAAACCAAAAGTGGAAACTTCAGTCTCCGAACAACAACCCAACAGTTGAACCACATTTCTGTGTTGATTCGTGAAAGAATTACAACCTTATTGATGAAATCTGAAAGTTTGCCTTTGTCAACTATTTTGGACTTTTTCACAGCAACAATTCTTCCATCAGCCAGCATACCTTTGTGAACAGTACCTTGACCTCTCAGGCCAAGAATCCTATTCATGCTAAAATCGTCGGTGGACTTCTCATTAACTTCACCCGATGATAATTGTTTTTCTAACAACAAACCACCATATTTCGTTGGAAGCACTACACCAAATTGGAGCTTTTACGACTTGAGATTTGCGACACGCTTTTTGTGCGTGTCGTTAATATCTAATATTTACGGCATATGACAAAGCACGCCTTAAAAAGGTGATAAAGCGTGTCGTTAATAACTGATATTTACGACATATAAAAGCACGCCTTAAAAAGGTAATTTGTGTGTCTTTTAACGGCATGTTTAGATATACGTCATAAAGTCTAAATTTTTTTTATCTATTACGGCGTGCAACTAAGTACGCCCTGATTGTTTTTGTTTTTTTTTTTCGCTTTTTAACGAAACCCCCTAATTATATTTGAAAACCCACTAAAATATGATATTTTTTTAATTTCCCTCATTTTAGTTTTCCTTCAGACCATAACATTCTCATCACTTCTCTCTCCCCATGTTAAGGTCTGATTCCTTACTCCGATTTCTGTTTGGCAGAACTTTACTGGAATCAAAGGTTTATCTGAGGCTAAAGTTGATAAGATATGCGAAGCTGCTGAAAACCATTTCAGCTAAGAGATTTTATATCTCATATGTGTTCTTTGATTGTAAGCATTTATGTTGCTGAAATGTTCAGAGACAAATTCAACTTGTTATTCATAGTTTGATAGATATTCAACTTGTTGCTGAAATGTTCATCTAATGGCAGAGGAAACACTTCAGAGACAAATTCAACTTGTTATTCATAGTTTGATAGATATTCAACTTGTTGCTGAAATGTTCATCTAATGGCAGAGGAAACACTTCAGAGACAAATTCAACTTGTTATTCATAGTTTGATAGATATTCAACTTGTTGCTGAAATGTTCATCTAATGGCAGAGGAAACACTTCAGAGACAAATTCAACTTGTTATTCATAGTTTGATAGATATTCAACTTGTTGCTGAAATGTTCATCTAATGGCAGAGGAAACACTTCAGAGACAAATTCAACTTGTTATTCATAGTTTGATAGATATTCAACTTGTTGCTGAAATGTTCATCTAATGGCAGAGGAAACACTTCAGAGACAAATTCAACTTGTTATTCATAGTTTGATAGATATTCAACTTGTTGCTGAAATGTTCATCTAATGGCAGAGGAAACACTTCAGAGACAAATTCAACTTGTTATTCATAGTTTGAGAGAGGTAAAATCTTGTTGAAATGTTCCAATTCATATAAGAATCAAAAAGTTATGTACTTTATATTAGGAACTTGTAGTTTCATGTTTAACTTCAGCAATTTTTTTGTTTATCTGGCTCTAGATGGCTCTGACGGGTTCCAGAATACCCATCAAATGCAACAATTTCAATATGCATAATTTAGTATAGATCAGGTAACTTTCATGTGGCACATTTTTCTTTCATATATTTTTTGTTGTTATCGTTGTTAAGGGATTTAGTGCCTTTCTCTTTCTAGTGAGTTATGGCTATAAGGTTGAACATATCTTGGTCAGGTTGTATTCATTCTAGAGTCGCAAAGGACATACTTCTTTTGGATGATATGGCAGCAAAGGAAACATTAGAGGTAAAATCTCTAAGTTCTGCCTCTGTCCATTTTTGCTGTGTTGATAAAAAGGCATACACATAATTTTCTGGATATACAGGAGACAAATATTTTTCCACCATTTTCCTTAATAATGCGTACTTCAATCATAATATATGTCTTCTAATTACAATGGTTAAGTTGCTAAAATGAGTTTTCAAACAAAATGCAGGTGGCAGATCAAGTATCAGTTTCATTCTTGTTAGATGATGTCTACTGCCAGTGCTATCATGAGGTTTTTGCATAGGTTACGTTGTAGGTTTGGCAGCGCTATTATGAGTGAATGAGTTGGAGGTTGTGTACAAGTTAATTGTAAATTTGGCAGCACTATGATGTGTTTCTTTAATACTTTATAGAGTTTGTATTTGGAATTGATTATGATTAGTATAGTTTTCAATGAAATGGTTATTTCTTTTAAGTTTGGTTGCAATACTACTTTTCGTTTTGTGAAATTTTGTATCCAGGGAAGTAATAGATGATATAAGTATATTATAAATATGAAACAGGAGCAGGCAGGGAATTAATAATTTTTAAAAAAAAATTAAAGTTAAACACGGCGTGCACTAAACGTCGTAAATGAGAATGAATTACTCTTTTACGGCGCACAAAGCGTGTCGTAATTGCTTTAACTGAATTACGGCTCACGGGGAACGTCGTCTTAAGTTTTTTTATTACGACGTTCATGCACGCCATGATTGAGGAATACTATTTACGACGGGGGCTTTTACTGCTTGCATGTTTTGCGTCGTGAATGATAATTCACAACGTACTTTGTGCGCCGTAATAGATGTGTTCTTGTGTAGTGAAAAACATTTTCTTGCGCCTGATGTCTCTCTGTTTCCTTATGACTTTGTATGCCCACCATGCACAAATAAGTAGTAACAATAGTCCAATGCTAGTTCCAAGACCTACATAATTATGCAAACACATTTGTATACCTGTGAAATGAATTTCCATAATCAACCAAATGAAGGAGAGTAAGTTTATATAGGAAAGCATATATTTATACCTAAAAGAATAGGCCTAAGTTTGGTTGACCGAGAGGTTGGAGGCCAACAGTTCTTCGTGGGATCGATCCCGTACTTACATAATCTATACCTCAATAGATTCGTGCACTTGTGGGTATTTTTAATTGGTTGTTTGCACAACAATGTTTTAATTGGTTGTTTGCACACTAAAGGAAGATAAGCTCAACATCCATGTTCCAAGCACCAATCACATGTTCAATGGCATCCTTTCTACTCAAGTGAGAAGGCTACCTAATCCTGAATATGTGCCTTCTCCATCTAATCCACGTACCTAATCCTAAAATTACTTTTGAAATCTACTCATGTGCGTAAAAAGAAAAGAATACGAAAGGGGTTGATTAGATGGCAAAGAGATTTGAAGAAACTTCATGTTCGGCACAAGGAGGCGATTAAGCCATAACCCCCCAAGTGACCAAAGTATGTTGGAAGTCTGGCCAAAGACTTTAAACTTAGCGCTTCTTGGGAGGCAACCCAAGGTGAAGAAAAGAAGTTTGTTATCGTCCTAATCGCTTCAAAGTGGAGTTTCTCTAGACTCATACTTGCTTTATTTATTTATTTATTTTATTTATTTTTTTGTATTTTATGTATTTCATTGAATCATTTTGCTTTGCCTTTCTTTTTCTTCCCAACTTTTCTTTATAACATTGTTTGATCTTAACTCTTCATCATTCATAAATAGTGTTTCATATAAGTTTGGGAAGTGATTTTGATTCATGATTGCACAATCAGAAACTTGACTTGAATGCTTATTTCATTTCTTAACATGTGATTACAAATATAAACTTGAAAATGCATACATAAATTTCTGGATCACATGTTTCTTTTCGCATTCTGAGCCACCTGAGGCATCTGCTAATTGCCTATATTTGCTCTTGCTTGTAGAACCTGCAATAGCTCTACATGGTCCTCATTTCTCTTTTGCAGCATTTCTACATGTTGGTTGGCACAGTAGAGCAGCTTCTGCAAGTCTGCCACTTGAGCTTTCAAGGGAGCCACCTCCTCACTTAAACCTGCACACTCCCTCGTTTTCACTAGTAATCGCATGCCCAAATTTGTAGCCACCGAGACCGCTTGGAGCACAGTTAAATTGTGGGACTCCTCCATTGCAACCTTGTCAGACCTCTGTGCCACATGCAGATGATCTGCCGGTGTGAGTCTGCTGACAGTCATGCCTTCCGGCAGTACTACTCTACACGGCACTGCCTCAGAGAAGTTTGAGGCCGAGCCATGGTGATAAGAGGAATTTGGGAAGACTGGGTTTGGAGGAGCCCTTATCTTGGCATTCGATGGCGCAAGGGATAACTCAAGATTGAGATCATCGAGGTGAGTGGATGAAGATGTCATTGTGTTTCTTGATTATTTGATATTTTTCTTTGAGTTTTCAGGAAGAAATGTAGGGTACTCCTACACTTAACCGATGCACGGTTTAAATAGATATCTGCTAATGAGGGAGTTGACACCATTTCGGATTTCCCGAGCATTTTGCGGTCGCGTCCAATTAAAGGGGAGCATTTCTACTTTTACTTTACTTTCTTTTTCTCTCTGTTTTCTGGTGTTTTGTGTTTTGCGTGTTTTTTTTCGTTTTGTCGCCTTTCCTTTATTTCAGTTTGGGAAGTGTGTTTTGTTTTCTTTTCCTTTTTCTTTTTTTTTTGCAACTTTATTTTTTTATTTCTGGAAAAAAAAAACACACAACACCAATAATGCAATAGAAATCACTTCTTCACAGTGCTCGGTGTCTCGACCATAGGAGCTTTTAGTTTGGCCCTCTGGATGTTTTTTTTCTGGGTTTTCACACACAGCTTCTTGGGGCTCATCACTTGAGCTCCCAAAGATCACAATCTTCACTTCAGCAAAACTTCTCTCACGATCTAGTTGCTTGCGTTTACCCGGTCGGTCTAGGGCCTCCAGCTGCTTTCGCATGTCTTGAGAGTACAACTCTACTATCTTTGATAGGTTTTTATTCTCTTCCCGCAATACTTCCAGCTGATGTCGATTCACCTCCACTATCCTTGCCATCTCTGATAGGATTTTAGCCACCTGCAAAACAGAGGTTAAAACGCTATATATACTCGCAATAGAACAAGGCTATTATTAGTATAGCAAAGGTAAATACGAGGTCATTCCCACAAAGACTGAAGTCAATTGAAAAAGATGTACTAAATACTTACTTGTAAATCAATGAATTATTATTTTTGGATTCAATGCGAATAAAATAAAACACAAATTGGGAAGAAAGTTTTGAAGGATTATTAATTGGGTGAGAAAATCAGGAAGATAAGACACTAAGGCTAGGTGTCCACCACAAGCAATCCAATATAGCACTTACGTTCATTAATCCATTAAGAGGTAATTCCAGGATAAAGATTGGTTACCTTATGTTTATTCTCCCTATGGCATTTAGGCTAGAATAATTCCTACAACATGCAATCTCCCTATGGCATTTAGGCTAGATATAAACATGAAGAGTACGATGAGCACGAGTAACCAAATCAATCATGTAATTCTTATGGCATGGCATTTACCGTAAGTAATCACACCTTTTAATTGCAAGAAGCATACTCAAAATCAGTGTGGCATTCACTAAATTTTGCATCATATAACTTAGTCATATACCATAATGGTGATCAAGCATCAAAGCACATAACCAGTATAACACTCGGCAATTAAAAGTTCAAACACAAAATCACATTAATGGATAAATAAACATACAGTACTATATCATCATGCTAGGGCTTAACCCCGCCCTAGATTAAGGTTTAGTTACACATGAACATAATTAAAAACACAGAAAATAAAATCATAAGAGTGACAGAAGAAACCCTGAAATACAACGTCGCACGCCAACTCCTAGAGCCGTATTCTCCTCTTGATGAATGGGTCGTCAAAAGTCCTCTTTTCTGACCTAGGCTTTTCTTTTTATATGATCTCTCTACCTTTTCCTAGTCCTAGTAAGCCTCAAATAACTTAACTTGCAAGGCATGAACAGCCAAACAAATTGTAACCAATAGGAAATAAAAAAAATAAAAAAAATAAAAAAAATAAAAAAAATAAAAAAAGTACAAGTCAGCTTTCCTAATTCTTTGCAGCTTACAGCAGCTATTCCGATTCTGGGCTTTTGGTGGGCTTAATCTTCACCAAATTGAACGCGTAAGATCTCATTGGAAAGGTATTGACGTCAGCTACAATTTGTATGACAAATAGTTTCCAAGAAAAATCCCATAAACTTGACTAAAATCGTCCTCAAGCCCAACAGCTCCAATCTGCCCGTATGGCACATGCCCTGAAATTAATAATTCATTCTGAACAGTTGGCTGGTCCAATAGCTCTCAAACTTTGACATAACGTCTCTTGACCTCTTAGCTTTCATCTCCAAGTGGTCTCAACCAAAATCTCCTAGTGAAAAGTAATTTCTCCGTTTTTGGCATTTTAGAGTTCCTGAAAACACAAAAGCTAGGATATGTGAAGATCTCTATAGAATAATCAACTTTTGCATATAATATCTGGATGAAAAGAGTAAATTTATGTGATTTATAAATGACTTATCACTCTCCCTTTTCAAGCTTTTTATAATACTCTGACATTCCTCAACCAAACTCCGCTCCGCCGCCAACTGACCCTTCAGTACCTCCACCTCATGGGACTTCGCAAGTAAGCGATGACCCACACTTGCGACTGTTGCCGTACTTTGCACGCTTAGTGCCAGGGCATTGCTCACGACCCGGTTGTCATCCCTTGTCCCCAGCACACGTATATCTTTGGGAGTCACTAAATTTCTAGTCACTCCAAGGGCAACATCGTTGTCCAGGAGTATTGAGTCATTTACTGACACGGGCCCTCGTGCGGAGACAAAGTAGGGCATCCATACTGGTGCCGCTACTTGGCCCCATGTCTGAGTCGGTGGAACTAAGTTGAGATCCAACGAAAATGGGTAGGAAGTGGCCATTTGATTTCTCACTTTCTTTTCTCTTTTGTGTGTTTCTGCGTTTGTGTTTTTCACTCTTTCTCTTTGCACTTTATAGACTTAGTTTTTGCTAAACCCTAGCCACTGTGCTTCTGAGTTTCGTGCGCCCCTACGGCTTATCTCCTTCTGTCGCCGCACCCGTTCCCCAACTCCTTGCATTAAACTCTTACTTTCTTTTATTTTGTTTTCTTTTTAGTTTTGAGTCATTTTGTTTTCAAGTCACTTTCCGAACATATATGATGAGATTGTGATGAATGTTTACATGACTTGATTGAAAATGTTTATAAAAAAAAAAAAATTATTATTCACTAAATGGCATCGTTCTAGCATGATATGTTTGAAACCTTCTATGCACTTGCCATTTGTTTCATAATTCTCCAGTTGAGGGA